ACTTTCTTAAGCCCAGCTCAGGAATAGAAAACTAAATCTAAGAAAGGTTTTAATTCTGAAAATACTCTGCAAAAGTATCTGGTGATTTTTTTTTTTTTTAACCAAGAAAGTATCTTCTTTTTGAAAGGTCCCCTATTATAAAAATGGGATTAGAGGGCGCCTGGGTGGCTCAGTGGGTTAAGCCTCTGCCTTCGGCTCAGGTCATGATCTCAGGATCCTGGGATCGAGTCCCGCATCAGGCTCTCTGCTCAGCAGGGAGCCTGCTTCCCCCCTCTCTCTCTTCCTGCCTCTCTGCCTGCTTGTGATTTCCCTCTCTGTGTCAAATAAATAAATAAAATCTTTTTTTAAAAAATGGGATTACATACTAGGAAGTAGTCATGGGACTCTAAAAGCTTCCTCTCAAGATCCCTTCAATTCTAAAAGACCCGGGTAGAAAGATAAACTGATAGCATTTTATCAGATACACACAGCCATCTTATTCATGTACTGAGGTCATTCAATCTTTCTGGCAGGATTTTCAGGCAAAACACTTGAGTATTTTCCTGGTGGGTATATTCTACCTGTCCTGAGTATTTTCCAACACCGGTGTGATTCTGTCTAGTTTGGTGCTGAGAGTGTAAGAATAACAACAAATATGGTAGACTATCACTTTGATAGCATTTATTTTTGTTTTTATTCAGCTTATGCACTAATTCAGAAAGTGCCTGAGCATATGATTGAGCAGAGCCGGCAGCTGCCAGTGTGATGAAATCTGGGAACTACAGGAAAGACCGCCCCCACAGACATGCCGTTTCAATCGTGTTGAAAGACTGCTAAGGCATGTTGGCTAAGTGCATACTGTCCCTAAAGAGACAGTTAGTTTCATATTACTGTTCTATAACTGGTAATATCTTAGAGCAAAAGAATATATCAAGTGATTTGGTAGAGTCATTTAGGATAGAGGTGGAACTCAAGACAGATAAATTCCAGTAAGAGTAAAAGCAAAGTCCAACTGGGGCACTACAGCATGGACCCCAGCCCACCTGGAAGCAGAGCAAAACATGCCCAAAGAAAGAATCTCAAAGCCAACAGAAAGATAACAAGACACTCTGCCTGCTTCACACTCTTGCACTGAAATTACCTGGGATGCTATGGCCTTTATCAGAAGGAGAAAATTCCCTTATTCTGTGATAAGCACCACTTGACAACTTTTAATTGTTCATAAATTTATGTTATACATTAAAACCAGGGTTAAGTAAAAAGTAATCTAAATAATTTCAAAAAGAATAGTCATTCAATTCACAAAATCCTAATCTTGTTTAAGAGCCCAGTAAGATAAATGCTGGAATATATAGGTAATACTATCAATAGAGGTGAATCTCTAAAATCATTGCGACAATCCTGCCTAGATTATCATTATAAAGTACTGTAACCTGCTGTAGCTAAAGCTTCAAAGTGAATGAAATAAATGTGCCCTTCTGCTACAGAATTTGTATTTCAGTGCTACCTAATTTGTGCTAATGTCTAACTAGGTTAAGCAGCTATGTTTATAACATAGTTCCAAGGAAGAATTATCTGTTAACTCATACAGGATTGCAGTATGTATGGTCTTTAGTGAGCAAGTCTACAAGTAGTTAAGTATTGCTGACATGAGATCAGGTTAAACACATACTGTGAATTTTTTTAGTTTGGAATAAGTATTTGAAAAGTACTTTTAATACTGAAAAATGTAGCTGTGATTCTCCTTCAGATAGTAACCAGTATGTATCTGTAGTAGTTCTTTTTACAGTACTGTAATTCCTGTTCAATTCAAAACAACAAATGTATATTGAGATCTACTATGAGCAAAACAGACATTGTTTTAGGAATTGTAGAAACTGTAGTGATAGGAACACATTTGCTTCTCTCAACATGTTTAGAATCTAAATGGGTGATGAAATAAATATAACCAACCAGGATATAAGGTAGAGTTCAAGTCTATAAAATTGAGGGGCTTGAGAAAGACTCAATGGATATGCGGCATCTATGATATAGCACTGAAGGCTGACCAGGGTCCTAGTAATTAGAGATTGATGAGAGATGCCATTCTAGATCAGAAGAAGAGGCACACAGGTATTAGGTATATTCACTTAAGAATGTGGAGTCCAGTTTGTTAAGAGTGACATACAGGCAGTTAGAGAAGTAGTTCTTGTTAAGCATTTTAAAAGCAAGTCTAAAATAGAATAAGCAATCTAAAATTTGTATTAAAACACAAAAGAACCTGAATAGCCAAAGCAATCTTGAGAGAGAAGAACAAAGCTGAAGGCATCATGCTTCCTGATTTCAAACTATATTACAAAGCCATATTAATCAAAACAGTATGGAATGGGCATTAAAAACATATACATGGATCAATGGAGCTGAATAGAGAGCCCAGAAATAAGCCCACACTTATATGGTTAATTAATTATGTCAAAAGAGCCAAGAATGTACAATGGTGTTGGGAAAACTAGACGGCCACATGCCAAAGAATGAAACTGAACCACTATTTAATATCATACAGAAAAATAACTAAAAATGGATTAAAGACTTGAATTTAAGGTCTAAAACCATTAAACTCCAAGAAGAAAACATAAATAGTGAGCTCCTTGACAATGGTCTTGGAAATTAGTTTTTGGATTTGACACCTAGAACAAAGCCAAAAAAAAAAAAAAGAAGAAGAAGCAACTAGCATTACATCAAACTACAAAGCCTCTGCACAACAAAGGAAACCATCAACAAAATAAAAGGCAGCCTACTGAATGGGAGAAAATATTTGTCAATCAAATACCAAATAAAGACTTAATATCCAAAATATACAAAGAACTTATACAACTCAATAGGAAAAGCACAAACCAATTACAAAATGGGCAGAGGATCTGAATAGACATTTTTCCAAGGAAGACATATGTATGGCTAACAGGTACATGGAAAGATGCTCAACATAGCTAATCTCCAGGGAGATGCAAATCAAAACCACAGTGAGGTATCTCTTTACACCTGTCAGAATGCTAGTATCAAAAAGAGAAATAATAAATATTGGTGAGAATGTGAAGAGGGAACCCTAGTGTTCCCACTGTCAGTGGGAATGTAAATTGGTATAGCCATTATGGAAAACACTACAGAGATTCCTCAAAAAATTAAAAATAGAATTACCACATGATGCAGAAGTTCCACTTTGGGGTATTTATCCAAAGAAAAAGAAAACACTAATTCAAACGTATACATGTATTATCCACGTTCACTGCAGCATCATCTACAATAGCCAAGACATGGAAAGAACCTAAATGTTCACTGATGGATGAATGAATAAAGGAAATACGGTGTATGTATATGCAAATATATGTGTGTATATGCACACATGCATACTTATTTATATGTATGTGTGCACATACACACACATACAATGGATTATTATTTAGCCATAAGAGAAGAATGAGATCTTGCCATTTGTGACAGGTATGGACCTTAAGGGCAATATGGTAAATGATATAAGCCAGACAGAAAAAGTTAAATAAATACCAAATAATGCAGTTGTATATGGTATATTTAAAAACAAAACAAAACCAAGCTCATGAATATAGAGAAGGGACTGGTAGTTGCCTGAGGTGGGGGTTAGGGAGTTTTGAAATGGGAGAAGGGATTAATGGAAAGGTACAAAGTTCCAGTTATAAAATGAATTAAAGTATTAGGGATGTAATGTACAGCATGGAGACTATAGTTAATAACTATATTAACTAAACACTATATTGCATATTTTAAAGTAGCCAGGAGACTGCATCTTGTAAGTCCTCGTCACACACAAAAAAGAATTTGGTAACTGTATAGTGGTAGATGTTAACTGGACTTACTATGCTGATCATTTTGCAATTTATGTAAATATCAAATCATTATGTGATACTTGAAGCTAATATGTTATGTCAATTATACCTCAACAAAAAGTATATATCTAACTATTTATAGGACCACCTCATTATAGAATACATTCCTCTGGGCTCTAAAAGAATATTTCTTTTCATTTATGTATTATTAGAGTGGATAGATTTGGGGACTGTTCCCAACACATGTCTTAATAAGCAAATGGTAAAGCCACTTTATATCTTTAAATTGATTCCTGTATCCCCTCATATTACGCTTCCCGTTGTCCACTTTTTAGTCCTCACTTTGATCCATCTCACTTTCAGTCATCTAGGGCCAAACAGTATTTTTCCTCATGACCATGTATGTTGATGTCACACAATCTAATCCTATTCCTCCTTGATTTGTGTGGACTCAGAATGAGAGCCTGTCTGGTCTCTGAGAGATCATAACTGTTCTAAGACTGAGTTATACTGAATTACTGTATACTGAGTTATAACATATTCTTAGAGCGCCTGAGTATCTCAGTCAGTTAAATGTCTGCCTTCGGCTCAGGTGATGATCCCTGGGTCCTGGGATCGAGTCCCACATCACCCACATTGGGCTCCCTCCTCAGTGAGGAGTCTGCTTCTCCCTGTCCCTCTGCCTGCCACTCCCCCTCTTGTTTGCTCTCTCTTTCTCTCTCTGTCAAATAAATAAGATCTTTAAAAAAAGAAAAAAGAAAAAGAAAGAAAGAAACATTCTTAAATGTAGGATAAAACCCTACCCCCAAGATCTTTATGTTATCATTGGCATTAGTGTCATACACTGAAAGTCTTTATCACACCACTGAATTCAACACACAAGACACTGTCAAGTATTCTCAGATTCATCTGAGTAATGAATTATAGCAGTAATACGGAGAAAAGATTTTGAGCTTTGTAAACCATCAAGAGAAAAAAGTCATTCACCAAAACTGTAAAGTTTTTGAAAGAAATGTTCTCCTTTGTTTTCCTTTCAGCCCAATTAAAGGAATAGGAAGACAGAAAGTGTTAAATAGGTCAAGCATTTACTTTTTGTCTGAAAACTTACTATCTTTATTTGGCTTTTTCTGAGATGAGCTACAACCAATATGTGTTTTAAAGATGTTTGTTGTTTATTTGTAGGTTCAAGCCAGTTATGCGACACACTATGAAAATATTTTCTTCCTGTTCTGGGTTCTGGAGCAGCTTCTTCAAAAGGAAACCAAAGAAGGCAACACTTCAGGTGTAGGGCATGATGACCAAGAAATCAAGAAATTTCTTCAAAAGCATGATGAAACTATTTTCCAACTCTCTGATGCATTTCCTTTATTTACTTTTTATTTATGGAGACTGGGCGTTCTCTTGAACTCAGTAGAAACTGTTGACAGTAACTCACTTCCTTAGCAATTTACTAAATATCAGAAGCATACTAAAGTGTGAAGATCTTCTGCTTAAAAGATTTTCAAGAATATTTTTAAATGAGCATTTTAAGTGGATCTCTAAATAGAATCACTAATTCAGTAGTTTTAAATTGTATATAAAACATTATGAGTCTTATTTCTATACTAAAATCAGACAGTTTCAATTGAGTATGTCCTTATTTCCACCTAACTGTATTTTACAATATGTTACTCAATATAGTCTTGCTCTAGTATTCTCTATAATGGACCATTAATTGTCTATCCCATAAACAATATTTACATTTTAAAATATTTACATTTAATAGATAGTAAAAGGCAACAAGAGATCTTAAAAGTTTTGTTGCTTTATCAACAGTCTTTAAGTAGTTATAAATGAAATTTTTAAAATTTTGTTCTTACATAGTTTCATTTACATGATTATCTATTATCTTAGAGGATGATTCTTTAACATTTATAAACCAAATCGCCCTCAATTTCATAAAATCAAGGTATATGTTAAGTCCTTTAAAAGTACTAACTCATTGTTTAAATGTTGTTTTTCAAGTGTTTGTTTTGATTCTGTTTATTATGTATAATATCCCTATTGTTAAAATGTACTTAAGTCATGTATAATTAAATAATTAAGGATATTTTTACAAATCTAACATCTGCCCACAAATATACTTATTGAAAGTATATTTATACTTATTTAAAGTGTTAGTTGAATTTTCCAGTTACACAGTTTCATTTACTTTATTTCAATTATTAAATTCATAACCAAGTAGCTTAATGAAGACCATTATGTACTTTCCTATAGTGCAATTTAGGGCACAACAAATACACATGTAGTTTATTAATTATGTGTGATATTGCTTCATAAGTTAATTACCACTCCTAAATGCCACTGATATTTAAGAAAATGAATATATATAAAATCATATCATCTGCCACAGTTATTTTTAGAATTATTTCTAGCTTTGTAGAAAAGAAAGCCTTTTTTCTAAAACTCAATGTATATATTAGTCACCTATTGTTACATAAACTACTACCAAATCTCAGTGGCATACAACAATAAATACTTCTCGAGTATCTGTGGGCCACTTGGGGATCTGCTCATCTGACCTGGAGAATGCTGGAAAGCTCTGCTCAGGTTGCAGATCCCACTGAGCTAGGCTCTTTGTTATAAATTGGGGTTTGGTCTCTTCCACTTGTGCCTATTCTGGGGCCCAGGTTGAGAGGGAAGCAGCTACTCAGGACAGCTACTCAACCTCTTCTGTGGCAGTGGCAGACAGGCAAGAGGGAAAGGGCAAGGCTGAGAAACATTACACTGTCATTGTCTGTCACATGCATTAGCCAAAGCACATCAGATGGTCAAACGCAGAGAAAAGAGGCAGGGACGTACCCTCTACCAGTGTGGGAGAACTTGCAAAGTTATATGACAAAGGGCATGGATACAGGAGAGGATGGAGAATTGGGGCAAATAATGTACTTCACCACACACACCAGTTGAACACAAGAAGAGGATTTCAGATCCTAATTAAGAGGAAGTTTTCTAATATTGGATTCCTAGGATTTAGATAACTGATGACATCACACAAAATCTACGACCCATGACATCTCCCCATCCTCACTCTTTTTTTTTTTTAAAGATTTATTTATTTGACAGACAGATATCACAAGTAGGCAGAGAGGCAGGCAGAGCGAGAGGAGGAAGCAGGCTCCCTGCTGAGCAGAGAGTCCGATGCGGGACTGGATCCCAGGACCCTGAGATCAAGACCTGAGCCCAAGGCAGAGGCTTAACCCACTGAGCCACCCAGGTGCCCTTCCCCATCCTCACTCTTAATGATTAGACAAGGTTGGTACATACATAAGCAAGAGTAGTGGTCCCTTTCCCATTGCAGTCAGCCAACATAATGATCCTAAGAAGACTTTTGTAGCTAGAACAGATTTCTTAATTCTAGTAGTCTTTAAAGCTTCATGGTCTGAAAATTAGCCTAGAAAATGTATTTATTTTAGAGGCACAGACATGTTGGGACTATCATTAATGTATATGGAGATACATATTATTTCTTCATTTGATATTATTTTTTGTAAACACTTATATTTAGTCAATTGTATGACACCTAACCCTTCATAATCGAGTGTTTCCGTCTCTAACAGTGTTAACTCTGCAGTACATTTAGTACTGAGGTCTAATTCTATGGGTGAAAAAGAAGATAAAATGAGACATTTGTATCTGTTTCAAAAAAGTGGTGTAAGATAGTGAATGAATGAATGATTTGAACTAGAATTAAAGTGATTTAAAAATGTTGCAATTAAGATTCGGTTAATATCTAACTTTATGATTAAAAATTGGGGTAGAAGAATAATGGAGACAGTAGAAATTAGGCAGTGCTGAAATTGTTCTAGGATAGGATGGGAGGACCACAAGGCAATACTAAAAATGAAAGAAATAATAAAAATGATAGTAAGTGCTAACATTCATATAGTAGATGTAGAATACTCATGTAGCATAGATGTAAATAGATGTCAGGCCCTGCGCTAAGCATTTATCTATATTTACTCACTTAATTCTCCCAGCAATCCTACATGATAAGTAAGATTATTACGTCCATTTTTGAGATGAGGAACTCTGGCAAAGGAATGTTCCACGGCTCACCCAACATCTCATCACCAAGAAGTGGCAGACTCAGGTTTGAGCCCCGGGGGTTCTAGCTTCCCAGTCCGCACTACTCAATAATCTGCTGCACTTCCTGTTCCTCACAAACTGCTGGCACTTCATGAAATTTCACAAATACCACTTCTTGGGAATTGTCACCGAAGCTTTATGTGCCCTCAACTACAGATCTTAACCCATGGCTTTAGTAGCTTAATTTGGATCCTTCAGCCCCTGCAGAGCAGCCTCTCAGAACAACAACCTTTTTGTTCTTTTCTACATTGTAGCATTATACTGTAGTAAAGACTCTTTATGTAAGTTACAGCTCCTCTTTGAACAATTAAGTTCTAAGAAGTACAAAGCTCTCTTTAAATATGGGGCAGGTGAACTGTCAGTCTGCAGTGCTGAGCCTGGTGGGAAGAGAAAACAAATCAGATTGCTTTACCCTGGGACCTATAAATAGATATTTGTGGTATTTAATGCAATTCTTTTACACACTTGTACTTTGCTGTCATTCTGGTGAGCATCTAGAGATAAGGGCACTTACCGGAGAGAAGCGAGGAAAAAAATGCCACTTGCATTTCCAGATTTTAATGTGAGTTTGTAGATTTTTAAAAGATATTGATGGCTCTGGCTTATGATAAGTTGGTTTTGTTTAATATCAAATATTAAGCACCAACTCTGTGCACAAACCAGTTATTTGCACATATGAAAAATAAACATAATAAGATTTAGCTTTTATCACGTTTATAAAGCAGAACTTTGTTTTTGTGGTCACTATAATGACCCAACCACATCAATAGCTTATATTTGCTGAAGGAGATAATTAGAGTGATAACATTTACCTAATTTTGAAAAAAAAAGAAGAAAGGACTTTTTTATTGAAAGCCAATTCATTCTTCTTAAATTATTTCTAGAATTGGACAGCACTAAATTCATCTGGTCAATGAACAGGTTGCTCTTTTAAGAACTCCCAAATATTATAGGGTATGATTGACACATAGGAAATGACCTTGACCTCCTTTTTGTTTTTTGTTTAATATGAAAGTCCTTCAACTAGTTTTAAGAATCTATTACTATAGGAAACAAAGCTTGTATAAAGATACTATAACATGCAAAACATTGAAATAATTTATAGATATATACTCTGAATTTGTAATATTTTTCTGATATTTTAATGTAATTTTTGTTGTAGCTGCTTACAGGCTGGGGAACATTGCTGTTTTTTAGTCAGTAGTCCTAAATGTTTCATAACAAATCCATGGGGGCAACAAGATTTACAGATAAAATTAACTTCATTTGTCTCTGATCTATATGTAAAGCTGTGGTTCTCAAACATTGTCCCCCAGGTCAGCATCATATGCATAACTTTCAAGCCTGTTAGAAATACAAATTCTTGGGCCCCACTCCAGATCTACTTCAGAATCAGAAAGACTCAGGTGGAGCCCAAAAATCTGTTTTATCAAATCCTTTAGGTGATTCTGATACCCACTAATGTTTGGGAACCACTGCTATAATCATGGTTTTTACTGAACAGGAGGGCTTAGAACATAAATCATTCAGAAAGTAGAAACTGAATCATCCCAAATTACTTAATGAAAATTTTTTTTAGCTTTCTCTCAATGTGCCTTAACATTCCAAAGTAGGATGTGGGGAAACTCAGTTATTCCTGATTCATTTAAAATGAGTAACAACTTTGGGACACCTGGGTGGCTTAATTGGTTAAGCGTCTAACCCTTCTTGGTTTTGGCTCAGGTCTTGATCTCAGGGTCACAGGATCAGCCCTGTATAGCCCTCCCTCTCCCTCTGCCTCCCCCCACAAAATAAATAAATCTTTTAAAAAGATAAATAAAATGAGTAACAAACTTGAAACATACCTGTCAACCTTAATAACACCTTAAATAAGTAGCATTTTTACATTTTTTAGTTTCTTCATTAAGATTGATCCCTATCGGTGGCATTTTTTAAAAAAGTTATAATCCAACTTTATGAGCTATAAATTAAGGGATAGCTCTCCGTATCAATCCTGGAATAGAATGATGAAAATGCAGAGAGTTGCAGACAAGATGTTACTTTGCTCTTACGTGGGCACTCCCAAATGATAGCAGAATGTTCATCTTTTTCCCAGAGAACTGCTTTTATAGATAAGGCAAATATAGCTTAGTTATAAATCTATTATTCTATTTCTCAGACCTAGAGATGAAATTCTACTTTGAATCTTTCTGGAATATGGTGTGATAATAAATAAATAAATAATAAATGATGTCTTGTTCTCCCAACTCTTGTGTTTATTTCGACCATGTTGCATCTTTACCACATTACTGTGAGCTCCGAGTTGCCTTAAGGACAACACCCCTGACATAGTGAAGGAACAGGGCTGTCACTGCTTTAACTTGAACGACGTAACTACTAAGACGTTTTCATGAATGATGAATGATTTC